GTAATTTTTTCAAAGAGGAAGAATGTTTAATGATTACAATAAAAAACACTGTCTGTAGTTTACGCGAGTAGTATACATTTAAATAAAACGACTTAACGGTTTAAAACGTGATTGTTGGAAGCCAAATACCAACGTCGACGAAACAGATGGAGCTAGCGTAGCAGTTTTTGCTTTGGCGTCAGAGACACCCTCCATATTTAGTCTCCCCGTGACCACGGCTGCTGCTAAGCATCCGAAACGTCGGGCCGTTGGTAAAATAATTGTTAAATAAGTTTAACTAAAGTAAATCACGTTTTAAACCGTTAAATTGTTTTATTTAAATGATTACGATAAATACTCTATTGTATCAACTTGTTTATAAGTTTCAAATACTCCTTGTTAAAAGTTTAAACTACCTTTAGCAAATTTACCATAAGCAAATTTATCATTGATCCATTAACAGTCCACAGGTGGGACTTATGTGAGCTAATTATTAAACCTAGCGTAGCTGAATGAGTTTTGGCAGATAACACATTGAATTTTTCATTGTCCTTCGCTGAAAATATAAACATATATACATGTATATACATTTGACTGTAGACGCTGGTTGAAGTCCTGCCCGAATCGTATATTTTTTCAATTTATAATCGATTTTTAATTTACATATAAATGTTTATCCAGGTTTAAACTGCTTTGCAAATAAAGGCTTACTACAGCAAAATACTACAACAGCCTTCAAAGATGGGAACTCTCGAATTATTAACTTTGTATTTTTTCCTTTTTGCACTGTCATACGTACACTATGGGCCGTATAGCCAATATTTTTTCTGTAGGCGTCAACGTGAAACTCGGCTAGGAATTGGCTTTTAAAAATAGCCTTTGTGGGTGAAAATACCGTGAAGGCAATAAAAAGTTATATAGGACGAGTAATCCATTTACTATCCCATCAAATTTTTGACCGCATCAATCAAGTATACAAACGGGTTAGCCAATGGTGCAGTATTGTGTAGTCCCTTATAACGAAAAGCAGTATTAACAATTAGTACTGGGTATGTTATCGCTTATAATTGTTATAATTTAGCCCGTGACTACGAAAGCTAATAAAAATAAATCTTTAATGTATTGACATTTAAGCATGGAAAATATTATAATATTTTGAGAGGTCTGATTATTACCTAAAACACTATTAATTCATACAATTTTTCTCATAATTATTTGCACCTGAAAAACCTTTTTTTTCTAAACCGTATTCCAGAGACCAAATAAATATGACGTCATTAGCTCGCTTTTAAATTCACTCGAGCGTTTAAATTTTAAAATTGCAAATTTTCATTCGCCTAATCTACATGTGTCTGAATTGCGGTGAAAAAGTTGCTTTATCTCGTTGAATTGTAAAAATAATTTTGTTAGCTCGCAACAAGCAAACGTATGTGGAATTCTGATGCGTTCATTTGCATTGTAGATACATGGCAACATCCCTATCTAGGAATATAAGACAGGATTTAGCACCAGCAGATTATGTACCCAAATTAGCATGAAGCCTTCTCCTGTCTGCATGCCTAACCAAGATTGCTTTGTCAGATGTTCTTGGCGTGGCTTTAAATTGTGTTGCATATAATTTACCTTTAATTAACGGTAAAAGATTTTATCGATTTAATATTTAACAGATTCTACATTTGTTACGAATGTAACTTATGTTTTACTAATACTTCAATAACCATTATCCAGTTTAAAAATTCAAGGTAAAATTGTTTAATATTAACATGTTCTCTAATTCGAGCTTTATTATCAGATCATTTATTTTCTAGAGAAAATTATATCAATAGTGACCCGGCTTAGTTACAGAATACAGTAAAATATAATAGGCGGGCTGGATTATTTCAATCGTCAGTCAGAACCCCTTTCATCCAATTAGTGGCTTAAGAGGTGCTCAACATGATTAGAACATCGGTACTGGCCTACCATTTCATTGCTGTATAGCCAATTATTGCTATATTATGTACAAGGAATATAGCTTCGGTATTAATACCTGTATATTCAAGTGTAAGTACATAATTATGCACAGTGTATGCTATTGTATATAATCGCCTGCAGAAGCTCCGGACAGGCAATTTTAATAAGTAGATTATATTTTATATAAATACGTTATAAACTAGACACAACATATGAGGTCGCTAGAGGCAGAGTCGCCTAACTGCAATTTTATGACTTGACTTATTTATATTTTTACGTATTTTAGTTAAACTTGTTCGAAAATTATTTTTAATTACGCCCCGACCGTTTCCACAAGTTTAACTAAAATATATCGCGTTTTAAACCGTTCAAGTGTTTTAGTTAAATGTGTACTACTCGCGTAAACTACAGACAGCATTTATTTATATTTTTATATTCTAAAAATTTTAATCTACTAGTGCAGAGTAAGCGAAAATGTTTAACAGAATTCTTACACATATTTATAATATACAAATTCATTTTCACCTAAGTTAATTGTGCATTTTTATTTTCCTCCATATTGAAAATCATGTTTTTTCTTATTATGCCACACTGCCTCTAGCATCCTCATATTTATTAGATTCACTAATTAAAACATGTGATAAGCTTTTTATAACGGAAAAATCCATAAAACTTAATAAAATATAATTTTAAATACTATGCTATACCAGCGCTTAACATTTTATTTTGTAGCAAAGCCTTAACAGGTAAAAACAGCCTGCTCAATATACACGATACATTCCTGAACTTTCTTGTATTAGAACTTAATTACGAGCCCTCTTGACCCTTCTAAGTAATAAGAACCCCTTCACTTTACCTTACTTATTGAGACTGTTTTAAGCCTTCTCAACTCGTAATGCCAAAATATCTTTGTTTTATTTCCAAACAAAGACCCTTTTGTAATGCTTATTTACTTGGGAAAATGTCGAAAGTTATTATTCTGTTCTAGCGTCTGTGCTTGAACAAATTAACGTCATTCCTTAATACAGTTTACAAGAAATAATTAAAATATCATGTAATATTGCTAATTTATACCAAATAATAACTTGAAAATGCCAGTCTTGTCTTAGATTACATTCTGGTTATTCATAGACATAACACAATTATAGTCTGTAGTTGAATCGTTTTAAACGAAAAATGTATTAGTTAAACTAATTTACAATTTATTTTAACGACGTCCCGATATTTTGAATGCATTGGAGTAGTCGTGGTCACGGGGGACTAAAGATGGGGGATGGGGGACTAAGGTCGAAGTAAAACTGCTACGCTGGCGCCATCTGTACCATGGTATTGGGCGTAACTGGCTGGGTCCTTGCAGAAAAGACTAATAAAGCTAACTGGTAAACCGGAGGACACCGTTAAAATTAATTTGTAAAAAAGTTTAACATTTCGCGCTATAGCCTTTAATGTGTTTTAATTAAACTAGTACAAATACTGTCTATAGTTTACGCGAGTAGTACACATTTAAATAAAACACTAACGGTTTAAAGTCTCCCCATGACCACGGCTGCTGCAAAGCATCCGAAATGTCGGGCCGAAGTTAGAAATCATTATCAAATAAGTTTAACTAATATATCGCGTTTTAAGTTTTTTATTTAAATAAACTAGTACAATTTTCGCAACACCATCATCTCATATACACATTCTACTCTTTTTCATATTCAATATAAACCAGGATGTTCGAAAAATCCTCCTCGAGAGAATTAAATATGTAACGAGATGTCTTACCTTTATCACGTAAAAGGAAATATTGTTAAGTCGAAGAGAGATTCATTGTATTCTAAAATCGATTGGGTGCGTGGCAATAAATCTTTGGATTAAAAATCGGAAGTCTACCCAACAGGATCCGCTATATATTAACGGCGAACTCATCGGCAGAGAAAACGGGCGTCCAGTAAATTGTCTCATGACGCCATGTGCTGGTTCCCTGACACTAATTTATTACTTAGCCCATATACAGCAAACTGTCTAACCCTTAGAAGCTATTTTTACATTGTTGCTGTTCTGCTGCTGTAAAAGGTCATTAAATAAATATATCCTGGCGCCTTCAGTTGTTCAGAATAAAAGTGGAACTAAAATTTTTCTCGAACGAGAGATTAAAACGTTGCAACTCTTCACGGAACGTGTTTTTATAAACAACGCCCCTTTGACTTGCTACGAATTTATATTAACAATTTTCGCCGTCAAGAACTGAAAGTGGAATTTTCTTGGTAAGTAGAATTTACTGAACCTTTTCCTCGATGCTTCATAACTGTTTGATAGCTCTAGCTTAAAAGAGAGTTATCTATATTATGGACTAAACGCGAAATCAAGAAAATATATAGAAAATACAAAGCAACATAGTTTTTTTCACACAGACATTAGTAGTAATTATTTATTTTTTATCTGCCACTTTGACAATGACAATTGACTTATATCATAATGTTATTTGATTAAAACAAGTATGCCTAGCTTCTAAACCTAATAAAATTACTAATTACATTTGCTATTTTAATGACCTTTCTGCTACTAAGGGGATAAGTATAAGGCAACTTTTTATTGCCTGAAACGTAAAACAAACAGCTGGGCCGCAAATTACGCTACTCGTAAACAGCAATACAGATAAAATGTATTTATGCAATAAACACATTTTCTTATACATATCGTATCGATGTGTATAAGAAAAATTGACGAAATGAATCGTAAAATTCTCTCGAATTATTAAAATAAACTATATGATAATTTAAAAGCGATTAGAAGTTAATATCTTTATAACACATTTATTAATGAGTAAAATAAATTTGACCTAACAATCATATAAAATTATTAACTGGTACACTCTTTGTTATTGTATACTGATCCTTGGCGAAAAAAGAAGTAGCGGCAAATTTTTAGCCAACTCTTTCAGATTGTTTGCTCTTCAAAAACTAGTGGTAAATGTTATTATTAAGAATCTTTTGTTTGTAACTTATATTGTATAAACATTTATAAGCGTGTACAGTCATCCAGGTTTATAATAAAAGAGAAGAGGCTTTTAAATTAATAATGTATTAATGACACAACTTTTTAGGATCTAAAAACCATCTCAACTCATCCTCGCCGTAAACTTTTCCTCTACCATCATTATAATTTAACGCTTCACATACTCTGCAATAATGAAATGATTTCGTACCAAAATATCCATGTTCATTGACGATTTTGAAGTTATTCCGCCACCGGTGAAATTCAAGCAATGCTTGGTTATCGCGACTCAACGAAATCATGTATTCGGCCAAATGTTTCGGTCCATTAAATTGATCTATATGTAAAAAGGAATTGGGGGGTAAAAGATCGACACATTCGTCTACCTTCGGCCCCATTATAATTGGGATAGCACCTTTCTCATAAGCATTATTAAACGCCTTCTCGGTTAAGTACTCCCGACATTGGGAATTTTCAAACACTAGATAAAATAAGTAACTCGCTGTGACGTTGCAATCGGAGCGGAAATGTCCAGGACAACTGAAAAATAAGACTTTTGTTTATATTCAGTACATACATACAGCGAATACTATTAGACAAAGTATTATATATTTCAGAAATCGATGTAAATAGCATTAAGATAATTAAAATGAACTGAAATTGTAAGGAGTAGCTCTATTGGTAGAGCAACATCTCCGAACACTGGTTCAAAGTTCGAGTTCCTCCTCGGCCATTGATGATTTCGATCGATATAAAGAAATGTTAAATTTTTAAGAAATTAATCAGTAATATAAAATCTATCACAATGTTGGTGCAGGAATTTGAAAATGGCTGCTTAAATTAATATTGTATATGTACTAATTAACGGTTCGGCCTAAACGTTTGTTATTTATTTATTTATTAATATACTACACCTCCTCACACTTACAGTAAGTGTCTTATTTCTACCTATTCTTCTAAATAATTTCATACGTCAAAACAAAGTTTCCCGCATCAGCGAATATTGATACATAAAGAATATCTAAATAGAGAATTAATCTTCGAATGTAAGGAATTTATAAAGAGGAATGAAAAGTCACGATTGTGAATACATGACGAGGCTACAAAACTGGACACCATTAAAACCAATAGACCTATCACAAACACATTAATATCAGCACTTAATCAGAATTCAATTAATGCTCGTATATGGAAGTTCAACGGATACACTTACCTGTTCTTATGATACTTAGAACACTTTCCGTATACATCTAAAGGCAGGAAATCTTCTAATTCGTTCAAATATTTCATTCTCTTCGACACCGCGCAATTGGACATAAGGATTGCGGCCAACTTATCCCGTCGTTTTATGTTCCAATTTGGGACCAATTTAGCCACAAACTTATACGATACATCATGTAGTAATGGCATTGATAAGGGAATAGTTCGACCGTACGGAACTGGTATGTCGGCATCACTCCTACGAAATTATTAAGAGAAATTATTACTTTGGGAGAAGCGAAACTGTACCTGCTGTCTAAATACGCGTAGATAAACAAATTGCTAAACATTTACTAGATATGAAAGAGAAAAAACATTTGTATCAGTTGGCAAAAGGACTTGAACCGGCATCGTCAGCGTTCAAGTCCTGCGTCAGAGCAACAGCACTTGAACGCTGACGACGCCGGTTCAAGACCTGCCCGAGTAGAAATTTTTTTCAATTTATTTTCGATTTTTAAATTGTATAGTGCCTTCATGTGCAATAATAACATATAATAATAAAGTTTTCATTCGTCATATGTGTATTTAATAAGTCACAAAGCAATCGTCTTAAATTAACGCCAACTCGTAGATCAGATAAATTAAAAATAAGTTAAATGTATATCTCGTTTTAAACCGTTCAGTGTTAAAAAAATTTAAAACCGTTTATAAAAATGTGTACTACTCGCATAAATGCCGATAAAACTTAAAAAATTAAATTTAGATTCAAAAAAAGTACGACACAGACGGGATTTGAACCCACATCCACTGCTGCTGGTCTAATCACAAAAATTGTTTGATCTAAATAGTTTTTGTAATGTTGTAACGCCATCATGTGCATAACATGTGAAATATTTTAGTTTACAATCAATTATACCTACTTTACTTAAAGTTTAAGTTATTTCGAGAAAATAAAGAATTATTTTACTTTTAAACTGCATAAAAAAATCTTTCAAAAAGGTTTCAGTCTTTCAAAACCAATCATACATACTAAATGTATTAGCGCTAATTGATGTATAAAACATTGTGGCAGAGCTTAGGTATTATAAACCTATTGTGATAATACACATTAGTTTTCGGGCTATCGCAGGTTGCTTGCCAAAACAATTATCCCAGAATAAGTTATGATAGATTGTGCCAGATATACTTCAATTAGTAAACCAGAGAAAAAAATTTGACGTAATTTGATTTGCATAAAAACCTCTCGCCGACATTTTTTTTACATTATTTAAAGAAAAATAATTCTTTCATACATATTTTTTGGATGGCTCGAATTTCTCTTTATTTCTTCGCTCCCATTGGTCGCATCTTATTTTACAGCCTAAAGTCTAAATGGTCTAACGAAAACAACAATAAGTTTTCAAATTGCACTAATAATTCTTTAGATAAGCGCATTCAAACAAACTATGCAGCTTTACAGTCCCGCTTGTCTTGATAGGTATCTACCACACAAGGGCTACACAGTCGCTATATCCAGTCCACATTATATCTCTTGTAGTTTTTATACATCTTCCAAAGATGTCAGCGATTTGTGTCTGTGTCAACAGGCCACTGAGTTAACGCCAACTATTGAAAAGATATTTTACATACCTATATGTCATTGACCAATTGAATATACTTTTCAGTGCTGCTAATTTGGGTCGAGGGGACGCCATGGAAAATGTATTAAATGGAGATTCGTCGCTAAGAAATATCCATCTTTGTTTACTATTTCTTTTTGTTGTTTTAGGGTAAACGCCCTTTTGTATGTGAACGACAACGGCATCGGCTGAATCAAAATATTTGTTGTCTCCCGTTATGAGACAGTTGCTGACACTACAGCCACTAAGTAGATCCTTATTCCTGAAATAAAAAAAATACATCTAGTACTGTTTGTAGTTTACGCGAGTGGTACAAATTTAAATAAACACTTAACGGTTTAAACGGAAAAATATATTAGTAAACTTATTTTTAATAGATTTAATCTACGACCACTATCATTATCACCTATGGGACACCGTCCATCTTGAGTCCCCCCTGACCAGGGTTGTTGCAAAACGTGTGACACTTCGGATCGGAGTTATTTATTTTAAATAAACAATAAGTTGACTAATATATCCTTTTAATACGTTAAAAGACCTATTAATAATCATAACAGCATACGATACGTAATGTAACACAGGTGTTTTAAACATGGGATTCACAGCTATGTACACAATTGACATTTTCTTTTCTTACCAACGCCGTTAACCAATTTATTTCTCCGTTTTGAAGGAGAAATGTTTAAGTCTCTTTCGCGAAGGGATTTTATTGATCAAACGCAACGTCTTTTAAAGATCTTGGGTTAGAATCCTGGGTTGAAAGAAATGTTTGTTTAGCAACTCAAGAAAGGGTTACAGAAATGTTAGCTTTTAAACTCACTCTTATATTATCCTGTGCTTGTTTTTGCACTAAGAATTTAATTTGAAAAATAAACACCTGTTTTAGCGCGCCCATGCTACATACAGTTGTCCCAAAATATAATTAATAAACAATATAAATCAGCATTAACTGAATTTTAAATATTCATGTTCATTTTAGGTCATTTCAAAGCCATTCTAGGAATTGCATTTTAAAAATAGGTTTTATAACAGCTTTTGACAAATTCTATTTAGGGTGTACAGTTATTAAAAATGCCTATCAATGTTGTACTTCCTATTTAATACTCAGAACAGATATCGAGAATGTTTCGAAGTGAAAATCATTTTCTCATCGTGTAGAGACGAGTAACAGATGAATTCTTGGAATTGTTAATTTTTTAAAATGCGACACGGGCAGAACTTGACCTGGTATCCAGATCGTTCCACGTTACTGCACTTACAATAATGATTATATTAAATAAAGTACAAACCGTTTATTATTAAAATTGTATACATGACGATTCTTCAACCAGGCCCAATGTTTCCATATTAAAACAATAAACCTTTTGTCTTCGTTTCGCCTTCTGTTGTTCAATATGACGTCATCTGTTACATTAAATTTAAATAACAAAGAACCTAAATTAGACGTGCTCCACTTCTGAAAATTATAGATTTTTTTAAAAAGAATAGGAGAAACTTTCCAAAATCTTTCTATGTACATAATCATTAAATGCTTATAATAAAAAGTACAATTCACACGGCCTTTTTTTTTAATATTTGACTTTCTTACAATATAAACCTATTAAGAACCTAGAATATTTGTGAAAGTAAGAGTGGGTTGTCTATAGCGATAAGGCTACCCATTCCATAACTTATAGTAAATATTTATATTAAAACTACTTTAAGGTTACATTTGTGTGTAGCAATAAAGAGTAGATAAATAAGATTATTTTTTATTTAATTTAGACTGCCAAATTAGAAAAGACTATCGATACATGTACTATAATAAAATTCCTTTTTCTAATAAAGAATTGCAAAACAAACTTTAAAAAAATGCGATGAAACCCAGATAGGTATAACTAAAAATGTATTTTCTTTCTCCAGATTTAAACCTAGGTTTTCACACACAATTATTTTATTTAAATACAGTCAATATTTAAGAAGGCGTAATCAGCGTTATTGTATTTTAATTAAATTATGTAAGTAAAAATGTATTTAATTTTATTATGAATGAAATGTCGAAGGTCTAGAACGCATAATACCTAAATAGTAGTATTTTTTATGATAGAGAACAGACGAGCGTGGGGTACACCTGGTAGAAGGTGAAATTCTCCAGCCGTATAATATATCAACCAGATATTCAAAAATCCACAATCCGAAACGCGATTAAACTTCACATCTTTTTCATATGTGGACGGTGGTTCATAACCCAAACGGAATTTCAGTATTCCAAACATCCCACATAATATCCAAAAATTCCAGAGGAATGTTTCAGAAAAATTATAATTTGACTAAAAACTTGTATAACCTGGTGGGGTTCGAACCAACAACGCGTTGATATTAGACGAGTATTAGCAAATATTGCGATTTGTACAACATACCATCCGTTTGTCTAAATATTTCTGTACTATATCCCCATGGGATTCAATCGCCTTTAAATCAGATTTAATACCTTGAAAACCACTTATATATGTAGCTAATATAAAAGTCACTGTCACGAAAATAAAGACGTTTAAAACTAGGGTGCGTTTTATGAGACGAAACTTGGTTTTAAAAAACATTATTACTTAAGTCTTAAGTACTGCATTTAGGAGCCTTTTTTATGAGAAAACGTAAATGTAATTTTACATATTAAAAGTTCTAATAATATTTTGTTAATAATACACTTAATACGTTAAGCTAATTTTCGATTCACTTCTGTTTATAATCACATTTCTAACGTTATGACTTAACATCGAACGGTTACGGACTGTTTTTAAAACATGGTCGCTTCACGAATCATATTTTGCTAATTATTAGCTACAAGTTGATTACTATCCACTCACATAATAAGCTCATTGAACAACTGTCAGTGATTAACTAATAAATCAATTATTTATATCAAAATTATATCTAAAACATTATCTGTAGTTTTATCATTTCCTAAATATCGAATCCGATATCCATAATTCCATATACTCGCTAATTGCTGTTCACTGTTTGAATAATTAATACATTTCCTGATATCTATAAAATCATGTGGCCAGCTCCACGGCCCGCGGGTTCAATTTCCGGTAAATCATAATAATTTCGATCGTGTGCAACAATTTGCTAGCAACTGATCATGGACAAATACATTATATCTCAATGCCTAATAATGTATACATGTGACAATAATTTAAATTGCCAAGATTGAGAATTTAAATGATTGATTTTAAAATGTACAATAGAGTTCTTGAAAAAATATGAGAGTTTTCTTAAACTAAGACACTCAACATTTCTATCAATCTTTTTTAATTTATGTTTTAAGTTAAATAAAAAAGACAGATATAAATAATTTGAGGCTAACCAAAAATTATTACAAAAAAAAGCATAGAAAACTATTATTATTCCTTTAACTATGTGGATAAGAAACAGACTTCAAACCGAAATTTAAAAACAAAAATTAATATACTACCTACGCACTCGGTGATACGCATTTTTTTTCGGATAAATAGCTACATTTCTTTTCACATTTTTAACCAACAGATGGCTTAAAAATATTATACAATTTTGGATTCAGTGCCGAGTAAATTTTACAATGAACTTACAGGAATATAAAATAACTAAGTACATATCATGAAATACCTAACAGCATTAGAAAAATATCTGAATCGGTTCCTTAAACTTATCAAAATAACTTTTAAAATATTATGGACACCAACAACTTATGACTGAACACTGAATACAATGTAATTTTTTAAAAAGATTGAGAAGATCTACACATAGTTTTTGCTTTACTTGATTTCTGTTAGTTTACCAATATTGTCGATAGCGAAAAATACCTACCACCATCTATTTCAAACCACACGTTCAGCATTAATTATGTGCGGGTTTTTAATAGCGACATCTTACCCCAAGATGAGAAACTTAAGCGTAAAACGGTATAGGTAAAATGGTAATAGACAAAATACCGATTTATATTTATTGCTTGTTCTATATTGTTCATGGCCGGTTCTTAACATAAAGTGTGAGACTTGAGGCTTGGTTATTGCCTTCTTCGCTGTACCGGCGCTAGAGCACATCTACTAGAAATATCTGAGGTAGGAAGTACTTACACATTATTATATAGTGTATAATATGATCTTTATATTGTTATTCTAGTGATGATTATAATTAATATTTGTTACGCCTTTCTATCCAAATGATTTTAATAACCTTTCCGCTTATTGAGGTATTTTCAGTACGCTTAAGCTGAGGGTAAAGGTTAACCTAATGCTTTCAATTGCTATAACTAATATAAAAATATAAATTTATCTACGCGCTTATGTTAGTATATTATATATTGACATAAGTTAGGTATTCGTGTGTATATATATATATAAATGTAAACGTATGTGTGAAGTGTGACGTGTCATAGATATAATAAAATTTATACCTTACCGTTTTTACTCTGTGTCACCAGCTGTTTACCGCAGAATGTTAATCTGTGCTGTTTATTTACTTATTACTTTTGCATATTATTAATAATGATTACTATGTATGTTTTCATCTTCTGACATCATCCGTGATATCAAAATATTCCATTAGTTTTCAGTTTGGAGAGCTATGTAGCTTATAATTGTAACATTGTTTTATAGGATACGTTTATAACCACAGGAACATTTACCATGAGCACCGAACATAATTATCAGAATGGAACGAATCCTACGGGAGATGATGTAATGGCTGAAAACCCAACACCGGTGCAAATACAGCAGGAATATTTTGAAAATCTGTCGGATTGTGATTGGGTGGCGTAAGTATTTAATATTGTGGGTCCGAATGAATACAAATAAGTAAGACAATGCTATGTCTGCTAATGTTATGGCGCAATTATAAATTCTAACTCTTGGAAAGTCTCAAAGTTTAAGTTTTAGATTACTTTAGGTTTTGAACAGTTAGTTTTTTGCTAATGTTCATTTTATGAATTTTCAGGCTAATTTCAATGAGCCTAAATCAATTGTTTATTATTAATAATGTATATTTTTTAGTTATAATTTGAATTGTAAAAGTGACAGAAGCTATCTGATGCAAAATGTGGCGTTTGCACTATTTGGTAGTCCTACTATTGAGGGTGATCTGAATGCTAAAGAAGTCTTAGAAGGCTATACTTCTAGGCAAAAGGAACAGGCACAAGAAGTCTACAAAAAAATCTGTGAACAGAGTTTGTATTTATTTATTTTTATTTCATGGTTAAGGTGCCTTTGCCTATCGTTTAAATGTGAAGGTAGCCTGGCATTGAACCAGTAGGTAAACATAATCAAGAGTTCTCATCATGCAGGGCTTATACTGATCAATTCTTCTAACTTTCTTTTAATTTAGTTTCATTAACTGTTTTTCTGTAAATAATGCTATGCCAATAATGTTACGAGTCACACTTAAAATCTTATTATTTTAAATGCTATATGTATAGGTATTATAAGCAAATAAAGTTATGGGTCAGAGATATTTGTTTAAAATTTCAAACTAATATAATATTGTATTGAATTATTTCAGAAAAATACAGTCAAGATGATGAAACAATTATGATTTCTATACTTCTCGTTGTTTGCGCTAGGCCAAAACCGCTAAAACTCTTACAATTTAGACCATCTAATTACTGGATGGATTTACATAAGAAGACTGATATATTAATGTGGTCTATACCGGTTTTCAAAGTTCGTAAATGCATCTCATTCAGTGATGGTAAGTTTCTGAACTATTCCTTTGTTTCAACCGTATTAATATTTAAATGCTGAAGTTGCATCCACTGTCCCATTTCAGGGAAATAATTATCTTGAATAAAATTTGTTTTTCTAAGCTTAAATTATGTATTATTCTTCTTTTTTTTTAGAAAAACCCTGCTCAGTTTTCATTGATGACAATGCCAGGGTGTACAAAGATTGGAACTCGTATCTAACAAATAACACCCTTCCTAAGTGTGTTATTGTCGCTCCTTGTAATGGCATATATGACGGTGTTCTTGTTGAGGTAAGCTTAAAAAATTTGAACCCTGCACACTGTCTTGATAAACCCTTTGCCTCAATAATAAATGAAGAACCTGAGTAGAGTGAAATAGAGCTATTCTTATTCAACACCTGACTTCCATTTGTCAGGAACTGGGTCCCAAGTATATTAAAAATACATTGCAAACAGTTAAAAATCATTGTCCTTCATATCAAATATATAGTCCACATGTGGCTTCTTATCTGCTATTTGCGTTTTTGCCAATAGAAAACAAAAAAACACAAACTAATAGTTTTTATTTCTTACAACATTTAATTCTCTTAATCTTATAAAATTAATAATGATTTTAGTTATTATTTTTCTCCATTTTTTAAAATCTTATGTGAATTGGGTTAATAATATTATAGTTTTAACTTATCTGGTAGATAAGTCACTAGCATTATATAATTACTAAAAAGACGAAAGCATAATGGCGTGGAAACCATCCGTGTGTGCATCCAGAAACAAACCCACCGGCAAATGCAATAAAACATTGAACATTGAGTATATTAAGTGTCTAAGCCTCAATATGATTTTGACCGAAATATTTACATGCTTTTTCATTATTATTATAGGAAGATAAGTCTATCGCGGTGAAACTCACTGTAACACCATCGCCGGCCCTCGGTCTCTCTTCACAAGTATTGAGTTCCGTCGACACAGCGAGTACCGTGGTGTCTTTCGGCGCTGCGGGTGTATTGGGCGTGGCCCTTTTCACCCCAGTCGCACCCGTGTTACTTGCTGGAGCTACTGTCGCCACAGTTTCAGCTGGGATCTATGGCCTAGTCCGTTCATCTATACACCTGCACGATCGAAGACAACACGAGCAGGTAACCGAATTTAATTATTTTGACTTCTATATACGGTCTATGTTGGAGTATTATTGATCTATTTTAGATTTGATGACGACTCACCTACTGACACAGACCTCCTTTCCTGTTTTTACTCATCAGTTAATACTCGTGAAGATCAGTTGACCCCGGGCGATCGAAACTATATTACGTTTCCCGGCGTAAAAAAAAAGTTATTGTGTGAGGCTTGGTTTTACAGTATTAATACTTTTGTTCTCAGAGTATAAATGTAACGAATCCTGAAGCGCGCGGAAGCTGGATAAACATCACAGCGTCAAGCGTTGGCCTCGCAGCTGGTGCTGCCAGTTCTCTATTGGCACGTTCTGCGGTTGCTGGCAATAATCTTACAAAGGTATTATGATAGCTTTTTCAGCGGTGTATAAGCCACCGTGATGTGGATCCGATGCCTACTTGGTATATCGGGTTTTTTGTAAATAAATATCACTTTTCCAGATCTATACTAATATTATAAAGCTTAATAGTTTGTTTGAACGCGGTAATCCAAGGAACTAGTGGTTCGAATTGAAAAATCGAGGAAGGCTTTAAGCTATAAAACATCAGGCTGCGACAATGGGGAAATTATTTATCTTTCTGTTTCCGTTACATGCACAGCGTAAACGGTTAAAAATATATTACAAAAGGATTATTGTTGTTTAGGTCTATCTAAGTCTAAAAAATGCCCGCGACTGTATATGTGTATCTCTTAATTAGGGATTGCAATCCGAAAACAACGGATCCGGCATCATTTAATGGTTAACAATACACCGGATCCGAAGACCAGATTTTAATAGTAATATATTTTTACAATTATTACTTAAAATAATTATTTATCGTAATGAAACTAAAGAGTTCTAAACGCATTATTGTGATAATTCATCCAATCATAATGGTATCGGTCATAATCGTAAATACCTATAAGACTTGCTTGTTATCATTCTCAAATATTTTAATAATGATTTTGATCTCATTTCAGTTAATTACGTAAAATTTAAATCTATTAGATATTATAATTACTTGATGATTAATATTGTTTCTTATAAATTGATCTATCTGTGAAAGTGAAGTCTAGAAAGACTAAACTACTCGTTACGTCGTAAAATTATTACTTAGTTACCTACACAGTGTAGGTTACTAGTGTAAGCTACACTACGCTACTAAGTTTAAATTGCTTTCTTGTTGTCTATTTGTCTTAACATTGGTTAGGAAATGAAGTTTATATACTTGTGATTTATTTTTTCATATACTACCTACATAATTCAACTTCTATTACCAATATTACCATAATATGATACAGTAATGTATCTACCGCAATTAAAAATTAAAATTCTATACTGTCTATAGTTTACGTGAGTAATACACATTTAAATAAAACACTAACGGTTTAAAACGCGATATATTAGTTTAACTTATTTGAAAATGATTTTTATCAGCAGCCGTGGTCACGGGGAGACCACGGCTGCTGAAAAGCACCCGCAACGTCTTTATCGAAAACTAATATATCGCGTTTTAAACCGTTAAAATGTTTTATTTAAATTAAAATTCTATCTACAAAAATACTATGATTTCCCAATTTTTACATTTACAGGTCGGTCAAATGTTGACCGTGTCTGTAGACATTTTACGTCACGCAAATTTAGCGACAGGCGCCGTGGGAGTTCTGAACGGTCTCATTCATTTGATTGTCAAAGTAAGTATCTTACAATCGTTATTCAATGTATTATAATTATGGTAGCAATATTTTTATATTTGAAAACTATTTAAAATGAAAAACTCTGTGTCTAAACGGTCGCTTCGTAAGTAAAACAACAGTACTTGTTAATTTTTTTTTAATTCTTCATAGATTTTTAATTAACACACGTTATTACTTTTGCGATATTTTTACGATACTTAACTTGAACGTTATATATAAAGTCATTGTGGTTGTTTTGAGGAAATATATCAGTACGGATTACGTAAATGAATAGTACGGATTTCGATTTTGTTTTAATCTGTCAAAAGACTTAGGAATAAATAATGTTGCACATCAATAATAAATAGATATATTTAATATATTGTACGGTTTTCAGTACCACAAGCACGGTGAAAAAGCAACGAAGCTTGAGCTGTTCCAATTCTCAGCATCCTTACTCTTCTTCTTCCAAGCCGCCGTATCGAATCGCACCGCGCAAAATATTATAGAAGACGCGCAGGCAAACACAATCAATGAGTACCGCGCTACACTTAGAAGTAATAAACACAGGTAAGCTTGCCTAAGTCATCATAAGTCTTTTATTATTTTCGCTGTTTTTTTTACTTGCCAAATGTGATCATTAGTAGACTCTGTTATCAGCCCTTCTGTCTCCGAATCGTTACTCATGATTTTTGATGTGTAGTGGGAATTTTCAAGGGCGACTTCTTTTTCTTGCTCTTACCAAAAAATGTAACGTAATTATTAAAACCTTTCCTTTGATTTACCTCTGAAAAAAAAATACATGTCACAAAATGCATGGTGATGGCATTATGTATGTTCAAAATGGATTTATAATTTTTAAAAAATTACGACACGGGTGAGACTTGAGCGTTCCATGCTGCTGCTCTAACCGATTGTGCTCTACCGTGTCCTAGACGTCATCGTCTAATTTTTTGAACCTATTTAAATATATATGCATGCACCTCTCGCGGAATTAACCAACCGTAACAATGTAAATTAAGGTCAACGTCCAAGTGGATTTTCGATTAACCTCGTTCATTTCGATCCCCATTTTAGTTGCATTAAATAACAGTAATAATAATTGAACCGCAATCTGAACCACTTTCAGAAAAATCTTCGACAAAATCAGCGCAGAGGCTCGCAGGGTAGCGGGAACAACGGTTCAAGGTAACACTGAGGTTATTACTGGTATCAAGAACATCGCAAATAAGGACCAGTACTTTGCCGACGTCCTTAGGATTAACAAGGATATAAACCAACACAAACTGCGGATATCCCTAACGTCGGATGGAAAAGTTAATTTAAACGCCGCGCATAAATTCGATCCTTCCCAACTATCAGGATTAGGAAGGGACGGCAGAGCTGAACTGTTTTCTTCCCTCGGCCCATCGAAACTGAAAACCCCAAATGTTTCCACTAAAGTCGGGCCAACGTCGTCTCCACCCATGCAATCTTTCGGGGAGACAGAGGAAAAATACGATGAAATCCCCAAAAAGGGTGTAGTAGGTATTCGCCCAGAAGAGATAATACAAATAGGAGTATATTTAGTGCGCGTCAGCACGTCTGGAACAGAGAACATAACGAAACTTCTAGAAAATCTTAGCAAGGACGTCTACGACGGTGTAATGACGGTCTCCATGAACATAATATCGAATTTGATCCCCGAAGATATCGCTCGGATGAAGATTCTGAATCCGAACAAGGATCTGTTGCAGCAGATCATCGAATTCGTGTTCAACTATTTGAAGCACGACAGGCCGTTGGGTGAAGTTTCATTCGAAGACGACAACAGTATTGTTATTGTGCTGAAAAGTTTCTTTCAGGACGGCGCCTTGAAAAGGGATATATTACTTAAGCTGAAGGAACGCCTTTTAAAAAATATAGAAGTTGAGTTGGATAGGCAACGCCGACAATTTCCGAATAAAATACAAATAAGCTGTACCGTTTGTAAGGGAGTGCGCTACGAAAATAAGTGACGTGCATCACAACATTGATTGGATTTATATCATTCAATTACCGTTTTTTTATGCCAGACAAGCATCGAGTACACTTAATAGTAAGTAAGCTACCCCCATAACATCTTTAGATTTGTTTTTTACAAAAAAACAGGATAACTCGAGGAAAATTACTACTATGAAATAGAGCATGAACAGCGCTTAAAGCTAGTGACGTCACGCCGCGCCTGTCTAAACTCTAAAGTTATTGAGGTCTATTTTTTTGATGCTTTGGTCTGACCTATATAATTAAGTTGATTTATTATATATATATATTACTATTGGATAGTCTCCCAAATTCCGGTACTTCATTTCCAGTGGTTTTATCTTAAGAATAATAATAATTTTGTTTTCAGTTTATGACTGTATACTGTATGATGATTTTCAACGAGCTCACAAAAGAAGCTATAACATTTATTGTATTAATTTGTGAAGGGTTATTTGTTAAAAATATAATTAAGTATATATAGTAGTATCAATCAAAGAATATGTACAATACTTTGTATTTTAATTCGGCTTGGTTAGGGTTTAGAATGTATTCTTATTTTTATATTAGTATTATACAATCAATTCTAGTTTTGCACAACGTTGCCTTAATAAATAATTATTTACACTTAGGTATTGTCTGTAGTTTACGCGACTATTCCACATTTAAGTAAAACAGTTTTTAACTGTTTTAAACGCGAAGTGTGTTAGTTAACTTACAATTTATTTTAACTACGGCCTGACGTTTCGGATGTTTCTCAGCGCCGAAAGGATAATTAAGGATTCAAAAAGATGAGTTTACTAATACATATCGCGGTTAAAAACGATTTTTTATTAACAGTAATCATAGGCAGTATTAGGGGAATTATTGAATGTGCATACAAGTAAGCAATCGTTTTAAGATGTCACATATTAGATAAGTGACATTTGTATTTATACAATTTTATATTATTGTGTCATGAAATAAAGGGAAAGATTTGGCACGGTGCCTTTGATAAAGTATATATTCCTATTGAGACATATCAATTTTTAAAATTTGAAAATATTTAAAAGTTTATGAAAGCACTGTGATAGTTTAGCAGCAAAAAAGCTTGGATTATATACATTTGCGTTTTAAAATAATAATGAAATAAATATAATAGTGGGATACTTGTTTTATTTTTTACCAATCGGATGAATAAAATAACGTGTTTCACTGCGAGACCGGTTCAATTGTTATTTCCTTCTTGCACTCTTCGAGGGAGATTGGCGGGTTGTACTCAAAGAATTTCGCTATAAAGAACCTGGTAGGAGTAAATAAATTATTATGTACACAATACAATGGACAATTCGTAGAATGTTGTTGATTGTATGGGCGATATCATGTCGGTAGCTTGTAAACAATCAGACTCAAATCTTGCCTATACAATACTAGATCTTAAAAGATAGATATACAGTGTCTCCAACATATTTTTTAGATCTTTTAAAAAGGAACCATTCTCTCTTACATATTTTTTGGCAGCGTACGTAACAATACCCTCAAAGATGAATGCGTTTTCTCTACATTTCTCGCTGTTACTTCGCTCCTATTAGTTGCAGCGCAATGTTTAATAGCTTTAGCAGCTAGAGCTAAGCCTGGTCGAAGCAGTTCTGCACTTACCAAACTAAAATTTCAACCGTGATTAAGAAGCAGGCTGCGACAGTTTGAGCGGCAGTGCGCAGAGGTTCCGCCGAACCTCGAAGGAGGCCAGCTAGAATCGCATCGCTTGCGTCTGATGCTGCTTCCAAGGCGGTAACCAGGAGTGCTGGGGCTGCGAGCCATCGCGTACCGCGACGGTGCCACGATTGCTGAGGTTAAATAGTAGTTTCAGTCGAGTAGAAGAGAAGTTCAAGAGGATTCAGCGAGTGACAAACCATGTTGGTTAAACGTTACTCAAGTTTCACTTATTGTATAAAATACATATCTACGGGTTCGTTGGTCTAATGATAGCAATACGTTACGAATTTAATCTCTATCGGGTCCAACATTTTTCTAATAAATCTTTAATTCCTCTGAAACATGTTGGGACTTCGTCTGGGAATCTGGATCTATCCAAAATAGGTCGCGTATCTCGTATAGATGTTAATAGGTACTTCACCGTCTATTAAGTCCAACCCCAGTGTTTTACTTTAACAAAGTTAGTCGTCATACTTAGCGAGCTCTCTCACAAATGAACAAGGTACTCACAGTGTATGAAGAAATCCATTTCTGAACTTTTCATCAACCGTGGTAACTAATATAGTTCTAGTTTAGATTTAGATTACCTTTGACATAACAGCAATCAGCAACAGTAGAGAGGTAAACGCAGTGATGAATGCACTTAACTTCCCATAGCCTATTACAAGTCGTATCGTGGGTTTTGTTATTCTGTGTCACAAAGATATAAAAAAAAAGTTAAAATTAATTGCTAAGGTAAAACAAGAGACGTAACCATCTTTCTAGGGTTTTTGAACTATATTTCTAGTTTTTATTTATAAGTATTTGTTTTAACAAATTAACGGGTTGCGGGTTTGATCCCCACCAGTTCCGACTAATTTTTAATCAATCTATATCTTTTCTGACTTCTTGAACTTCGTCTAGAAATCAGGACGTTAAAAGAAGCAAGAATATTTAAATTCCGTCCGGTCGCGAACTACCGTCCACAGATAAAAAACTCCGTTTCAGTCTATGTATTTCCGAATATCCAAAGCCTACCATGAACTGAACCCCATTCTTGTCTGTCCTTCTCTATGGTAAAAATTATACTTATAGCAAGTTATATGTAGTTCTCGCTCCTAGCTACAGATCTGGTATTTTACAACTATTACTGAATTAGTTATTTTTCGCCACATTACATTGGCAGGATCCATTTTGAATGGGAAGCCATCGGACTAAGAAGTTTTTGGGAGTACGTACGTGGCCTGACTTACCGTCTAGCAAAGCTGACGTTATTAAGCCTTTGAGCTACATCCCTGTCATCAATTTCTAGCTCCACTGGTTGAGATTCAAAGGCACAAGCTGACATGGAGACTCTGAGCAGAGCCACCAGTAAGGCTCTCAATCTCACACGAACCCCTTGAGGGCTCTCACCGTTAGACGTATTTAACTGTTCAATACAAAGAAGTAAAATCCACTTTGCTCTACGATATATCACTTTTTCTAATTAAATGCATTTTTGTTACCCGGGAATTCGAAATAACAACTTCATAATAACAGCGTCTAATGTTTAAATAAAACGTTTTTAACGGTTTAAAACTCGATATTTATTGGTTAACTTATTTACCATTTATTTCAATTACGTCGCGACGTTTCGGACGCTTTTAATCTAAATAGTAAAGAAGTTAACTAGGACATTTCGCGTTTTAAACTGTTAAAAGTGTTCTATTCAAATGTGTACTACTCGCGTAAACTACAGATTTAACATATACTGTACTGACATTGCTGGATAGGTTTTCATGTTTTAATCGAAGTTGTTCAATTAAGGCATTGCTCTCAGTTTCCATTTTGCGGTACAAGGACGCATGGAGAAGTTAATGAGGTACCGATGTGCTACGACACTCCATGTGTTACGAAAATAAAGAAGCGGTGAGTGAAAAACAAAAATTACATAGCTATGTGAAATGTTTCCTATTTCACCAACACATGTCAACGTTGACAGAATTAGCGTTTTGACAGAACGTTGACAGGTAATAGAAACTATTTCTGATTGAACCTAACCCACTTTTCCTATTAACAAATGTATTTGTATTACCCGGTATATCATACTAGCTGTGCCCGCGACTTTTATTTTGTTCGTCATATATATTATTACAAAATAGCTTCTTCAGCTCTATAAATTATAGCTGTTACTTACGACACCGACTGCGTCATGTCCTATTATTATTTTAGATTTGTTTTTAAAAGTACATTCGAATTGATCTTGAAAGCTTGTGATATACTGTCGAGACAATTTCTTAGAGGAATCATTTTTCCATACATATTTTTTGCTTTCTTGGACCGCTTTCGCAGCATACGCAACGGAGACCCTTTCCTTAAGACCTAAAAATTAGGAGGCCAATAAAGATGGTAGGTATACACTATATTTAAAATAATTTAACTAAGTCATAAGAACGCTTTTATTTTATATTTATTGGCCTCCTAATTTTTACCTACAAAAGGTAAAAAATTCAAAAAATAAGTGATTGTAGGTGTCTGTATTACTCCTTTATTTTATCAAACGAGCTTAAAGATCACAAACACATAAAAATTGTCGAAAAGCACAAAACTCTTGCAGCCAGTTGAATGTTATAACTACAATAGCGGTCAGTTTATTTCGCAATTTGCCAAACGAATGAAGATTCATTCGAGCAACGAAAACACATACGCTCGTTATTTTAAACAGCATCGATAATAACTGCCCAGCTAAGTGAGGTAAAAATAATCCAGGATTTTCCTAAAATAAAATTTGTATTTTGGTAAAGCATCCTGAAATAAATTAAAGAAATATAACCGCGTGCGACTATTAAACATTCCAGATAAATCAATCAACACCGGAGTGTTTTAACACATTATTATAATAAGTGATTATTTTATAACATGGATATTGTATTTTTTAAAAGTTAAAAAACAGGCCGACTGAGTTTCTTGCGTGGTCTTCTCAGTTATGTTGCTCTTTTGAACACTGTAGAATCACGACAAACAAAAAACAATGTTTGACGAATCTAAATAATTTTTATAATTTTAAAGAGAATAAAGTATATTTTATTTTATTTTATATAACGGGTTAATTTAACACTGAACGAAATTTTTAAATCACATCTTTTTTGAGATTAATTAGCTCAACACGTTATTCAGCTTAATATTAGATTATTAGGTATGATTTCATACTTACATACTTTATGATTTCGTCTGTTGCCCGTCTTATTACCGTGGATATCGGTAATATTTATTCTTGTTATATACATTAACTAACAAAATATTTAAATATTCTTACTGTAAAGCAGCCGATTAATAGGCAAGTATGTTGTATAAGCCCCATGAAAATGGCTATGACTTTAAGATCGTGAAGTATCATAGCTTTTCGTAAATTCGTATTAACTTTAACATCGCTGAGAAACTCAATCTCTCCCAAATGCTTCTTCAAATGATGAACACTTACAAACTGTTAGATAAAACAATAAATCTTTATTGTCTATTCAATCATAACTACTTTCGTAGAAGAATCTTGTGAACAATCTTACCAGACCGAGGCATCCATAAAAATAAGTGTACAAAATACTTGCTCCAAATGTTGGATGTTGGCACAACAGTCTCGAGCTTCCAAAATACGGTTTTATAATTGGGGATAAGAGCAAACTAAAAGGTAACTTCATAATATTAATGACATTGCAACTAACAAAGGTTGACTGTCAGAAAGCGCGCAAAAAATAATCTATGGTTTATAGATTTTATTTTATACATTTTATTATAGACCATAGAGTATCTATCTTTAAGGTATAAAACTTCAAAAGAAAACAGCGTAAAAATCACTGTTCCCGCTTGTATCCGTAGTTTAACTAATATAATATAGTCTTAATATTAGACGATTGAATAAATTACGATAGCATTAACTAATGAAAGGTAGCAAACGTTCTCTGGGTTAAAATTTTAATAAAACATCACATTATTTCGTACATATAATTCTAAAACAAATTAACTACAAAATTTAGGAACAACAAAAATCTTACATAAAATAGGTTTAAAATTAAAACTAATTTAAAAAACAGTATTAAGAACGTGAATATTGTCACAATAGACGTCGTCCCGCAAAAACGTCGAGCATTGGCTCATAAGGGTGTCTTTGATAGCGATAGTAGGGTTTTCCCGTTTGCACCCGGTTGAGAGAAGCTGAGCTAGAAATGGGTGATAGCACATCGATGCCGCAACGAATAAGCCATCAGAACTTACAGAGAGGTGGTTGGACATTTGCTTGTTGCGTTTTGATAGCTTCTTAAACTCTGTGATTTTCATCGGTGCTGGTTGATCGGCTGACATTGACGCAAATGGCAGTGGATAAGATGGAACAATATCGTCAGTTATTAAGAAGTCATATAATATCAACACTTGCGGAAAATCAACCGGAACTTTCGAAGGTTTAAACTTAGAAACATTATTGTTTGCCATGGAATTCTCAATAGGCGCAGGAAGTATATTGGTCTCGTTACCGTTTTCCGTTAGATTCGAATGAGGCGTTAATGTCGTATCAAGTAAAGAGTCCTTTAAAACGTCGCTACTGTTTACCGTGACATTAGGTGTATAATTATCTAACTTAGGATTTTCCCTAATTTCTCGTTTGCTTCTGTGAGTTCTTATCAAGGGCGATTCTTCAATGGTTTTAAATTCCGATTTAGCTTCTAAATTAAAGAATGAGCTCGTCTGATTAAGAATATGGTTAACTACGTTATAAAAAAGCGAAAATATTTCGTTTTCGTCATCATGGTCCATAGAATTTAATATGTCAACATACTTTTCTGTCTCAATACCATCGTTATGCTGCTTTAAAATTGCATTAAGTTTGTAGTTAGTATTTTGTCGACTATTGAACATGTTATTGAAGGTGAGCAGATCCATTCCAATTCCACCAGTTTGCCACACCGAAAAAATTCTTGCATAGAATGGCAGATACATTAGAGGAATATTCTTCCACTTGTATCTTAGCGGTGTTCTCCCCATATATTTACTGAGAGGCATTATTGTAACATTTACGTTTTGATAACGCCGTTGAAAGTCTCGAATCTCACGCTTATTGCTTTGCTCTACGATCACGTTGAGGGTCCCAGGTATCGCTGGAACGAGCCGTTTAAATAGTCTCGACCTCTTCCCAGTTTGTGCTAAATTTGAATCATCAACCAGAAAATAAACGTTAAAACGTAAATATGGATATTGCGAAGCCATCGTGGAAAGATATTCAGAGAATATAGCGAAAGGAATGTAGGATCCTTTGGATACTATATGATGGAAGTAAACATCGCTAGCTGGCTTCGAATTATTACACTTAAATACGATGACGGGTTGGCGTCGATAAGCACTCATTCCTAGAGCGTAAAATACGAGGAATGATATTGCCAATAAAATAAGGGTCATCCAACAGGCGGACATAAATTCTGAAAAAATAAAACAATGTTAACTACCTTTTAAATTTTGTCTAAGTTGAGTGAATTGAAAAACCTACCATACTGCTCGAGTTCTTTTAATGACTACTATGACTTAATTATTACTGATTAATAAATTCGTGTTAGTACCAGATAAAAGCATTAAAAGCTTTTGGCTAACTAGAATTTTAACTCCAGACGTATGAATCTTTACCTGTGTGTACTAACCGCTAGACTAATGAACTAAATAGTTTAAATATTTCCTGACAAAACGAAATGAACCTGATCCTTAAAGTAAAATTATTTTTAAGATAAGCAGCTAGTTTTTGTTATTTACCTGGCCAGCGGTCAAGCCAAGACTGCTTCAATGAGGGGGCACTATGATTCATACTCCAACTAGTTGTTACTACGGTAGGAGAAGCAGGCATTCGAGTTTTAGTATCACCTCCTCCATCCGAATCTTCCACTTTCAGCAGTGGATATTGCTCGTCACGATTTATTTTGGGGTCGTGTTCCATCATGTTGACTTCCCTATTAATCACAAAAGCTAGTACAATAATTCTTGTTACTGTCCTAAGATAATATTAATAATAGTGTTAATCCCAAGTTAAACATAAATGTATTATTATTTAATAATTTATTTAGCAAGAAATAATAAGCCATTTAAATGAAATCTGTTTAGGGCAATAAAACGTGTATTGTATGTCATTGATTTTGACTACTTAATAAGTAACAATCGAATACATTATCTTCGTTTAGTTGTATTTCTTAGTGGATATCAATGTAGCTTACCTTTTTTGCCTCGGTGTTATTAATTTGAGAACATCGAACACCATATATTATTTGAAAATTTATAAGATGTGAAAGGAATGTTTCATTGACACGAAATTTTGCTTCGGATTTTAAACTCATTTCAATTAAATCGTCAAAGTATTCTTCCTTTTTTTACCTTTCTCTAGAATATCCATGGACCATTGAAAATAGGTATTAATAAAATAATACGCCAATATAGATATCGTCATGAATTTGAAGAGATATTGATATAAAAATAGTACAACAACATAGTAAAATTAAATTAAATTAAAAAATAATAATTTTAGCAAGAATTAAGTTACTACCATAATCTATAACAACTAGGTTGTTTTTTTAATCTAATATTCAAGATTTTGACTGCCTTCTTCCAAGGTATGTATTTCGGAGAACATAGGAAAAAAGACGTAGCTCAACTACTTCACTGTAAAAGAAATCGATCAGTGAAACTTATATGTGTTCGCCCTATGCTTTACCTATAAAAGTGTATTCTATTTAAACTGATATGTATAAAATTAGTATAAAATTAATATTTTTGCAAATCTAAGCAAGGTCACATTTTAAAGTTCACTTATTGATTACTCATAGTAAGTATTTCAATAAGACGTCAATACGTGAGGCGAATGCAATGTTGATTCAACAAAATTATAGCGTAAAGTACATATATTAGGTAGATATAAACGTGCTCTTTAAAAATTAAGTAATGAAAAGATATTAATAGCCCACGACCGCTGTAGACTGCAGTATTGTGTTATGTTATTTGATACATTGTACCTTGAAATTTACTGTTGTTCAAAGTTTAATGGACCCACACAAATTATAAGGACTAAATTAATTAGGTACGTTAACAAAAAACATTATTTGAGACAAGTAGGTAGTTACGAACATTTGAATGGAATGCATTTTGTTATATTTCATTTGTATTAAATAATCACTTAATGTCAATGAAAATATAATTTATAAGTTTATCTATACTTAGTTGGTAATGTCATGTGTTTCAAGAGCTACTTTATGTTTCGGTACAGACGTACAGACGTCATAAATCTCTTGAATAACTTTGGTAATTTTCTCTTACACTCTTGGGCTTAGATAAAATAATAAATGAAAAATGTGCTGGTAGCACTGAATTCAGTCCTTTTTTATTTACTTTTACCGCTTAAATGCGATTTCATTCTTTTAACCGTTAAAAATATTTTTATTTGATTGAGTTGAATTTACAGACGATACCAAGTATATAAGTAGTTTCATTTAGAACCTTTTTGCTTGCAAAAAACCTTTGACTTTGAAGCGAAATCCTTAGTGACAGTTTAAAATGTATACTCATACGTTTTGGGTAAATCGGTTTAAATTAAATTCTTAGTATTTTTTTTCTATTTTTGATAATCTTTTTTTTATTTTAATTGTGTTGTGTTTCTGATGTGTTTTTGATTATTTGATCCTTTATAGGCCTAGTTATTTATCTACTCTAAGATTTTGCTATTTTTATAAATAGTAGCAAAATCTTAGGTGTCTCTAGTGTATGAACGGTACACAATGCAACAAATATTTCTTACAAAGTAGATAATTTTTATTTTTAGTCACAAAGAGCACAATGAAGATTATCATTTTTAGAATGAAATGAAAGCTTTAATTGCGAACTATTGCTGTTTATTTATTTTTATTTCATTCTCCAACATTCTTACAACTAAATACTAACTTAAGACACAAGTTTAAGGGGATACAATTGCTTGTGAAGAACGATTATAGGCAAGCAATGTTTTGAATTGATTATGGAGAAATTCTAATATCAATTATTGGAATTACAGTGACCCAAATGGCAAGGGATGAGTGAATCGAAACCTGAGCAGCATCCGTTGCTTTTCGATGATTTATCTGATGATGAACATCGAATATCAGAAAGTCCTACATATCAACGACGAATCTTTTCTACTGGCAGCGGCCGAGCCAAGTATCACGTGAGAGGCGCTGCGACAATTTTAAAACAGTGGCCCGGTAAAGCTCACATCTATTTGATTATTACTAGTAGTTTATTCGTACAGCGAGAGCTAAAATAATCAAGTTTCTAAACAAAGAAAATGAACATCGTTTGTAATTTAATAATATGTTATTAAAAATCATCAAGCGACAAATAAGACCCAAAATAATATAAAAAAGTGCAGAATAAAAGTGCGTGCTTTAGCTGAGAATTACTTAACTAAACAGAATTTCGATTGAATTGAAGTATTTTATATAATGTGTTGTTCATTCGTATATTATTACATTTCAGATCATATGTCATCTCTGCTGACCTACTGGTGGATGGGATTAGCTATGATTGGTTTCACAGTACTCATAATATACAATAGCGTACTGGCTATTGCTGTTATTCCATCTCCTTCAAAAATTAATAAGATGCCTCCTAAATTAAGAGCAGACGACTATTCTTTTGATTATACATCACATAAAACAGTATACCTGCATGTAGTCATCGATGACAAAAAATTGGATTTGAATACCTATTTGCCCTATATAGAAATCGTATCAAAAGATCATCCTGGACTCAAATATAATTTTGATCTACTTGTTAATGATACAGCTGACTTATTTGATCCCAAAAACGATAGTCAAAGTAATTCGTTGTGGAAAGATAAGGCTACTCAGTTAAACATACTCAAACACACTTTACCGCCAGATACTAAAATAAATATCCGCCATAAATCTTTGACAAGGTATATGAATGAGTCACCATTAAGAAAGGTGTGGAGACATTTGCCGCACCATCTCTTCGGATTTCTAATTCGCTGCATTTCAGTGTGGAACAAAGGTGGCATATCAATCGATCCGCTATTGCTTACACCAAAATCACCACATCCGCATTATTTAGAAAAAGTAAGTAATATATTTAAAGACTTCGAGGATACTACAAAAAGAAGAACTAAATTAAAAAAGAGCTACAAGAATACGAAAAAAGCAAAGAAAGTAAACAACATTCGTGATATTATAGAAGCATTAGAAAATGAAAACTCCAGTATTGACGAACATCAAAAGACTGATAATTTAGAAGAAGCAGAGAATAAATTATTTATTACAGTTAACAAAAATAATACGCAATTCACCGATAAAAAATATACATTCGAAAATGAATCAAACGTTGTCGAGCGTACAAATAAAAAGCACAAACCAAATAATGAAGCTTCGAGCAAGGTGTCGATAATGATGAGATGAGAAGCAATAGTTATGAAAAGCATGAAGTAAAAGACCAAAAAACGTTCCCTATGTTTCTTAAACTTTTGTATTCATCCTCTGGTAAAAATACAACATTGAAGGAAAATATAGACACACATAATAAAAGTTACGGTAACAGTGACAAGATCATTCTTGAGACAAAATCTTCAAGCACTCCAAGCGACCCCAGTAGAGTCACGTCATACGCAGAAAAATTTCCGTCAATGGACACATATAATACGATTTCTTCAGAATATGACCGTGACTTAGATTTAAATATAGATTTAAAAGGAAATATAGTAGCAACAAAAACAGCATGTCATGCGTTTTTAGGTACAGTATTCAATAATGTTATACATCACATTAGAGATGAAACCGTTACTGATTTCATCATAACTGAATTATCCATTTTTTGTAAAGGTACTTGGGCTACTTGTAAAGGTGTTGATGTTATTTTATTGTAGACTTTATATAGTAAATATTAACTTATTAAAGTTTGTTTACGGTTTTACAGTTTTTTCCATTGGCCATTTAGTCTTTTACGATAGAGTGAAATTTAAATAAAAAAACAAAGCGGGTTCTTAAAATAACTTTAATCTACTTTATTGGGACCAGATTTTCTGTTCCCGTCCCTTAAGAATCGTGATCAAAATAATGTCGTAACACTTCTAACAATATTTTGATCACAAGTCAAAAACTAACTAATACTTATTAGTTATGGCAAAGATTATATTGTCATTACTTATTTTGTGTTTGTGTTTGAAGACTAGATTTAAAATTTTAATTTTATGCACTGTTCAGAGAATTTTATATGACGATAATTATGATTAAACGTAAATAGCTTAATGGTATCAATTAGATCACTATAGTATTTATAACGCAACATTTCGGATTTCTTTTGGTATTTCGTGTCTCCTTCCCCATGGATAGAGTGAACGTTTACAGTCTTTCAGCCTTGCCATTCTTTCGCATCTTTTGCTTTTGGTCCAAAAAATGTAGCCTTCTGGGCATTTATAAACATAACCTTTTATTGTATTGTTCTTTGAGCGTTGACATTTTAGTATTGCAGGAGAACATTCTTGATTCCTCTCGAATGGGAAGTAACCAACATTTGGACAGGCGTAGCTTCTGGTGTCAACGATTAACTAAAACAAAAATATTACATAATATAATACATTCTTAATTTTGTTATTTCTAACAATTAATTATGTTTTAATATACTCACCGGTTCGACATAATCACCACTGAATCGCTTAATCCGATGAGATCTTGCTAAAGAACCATCACATTTTTTAGAAGACTTACTTTCCTCTACACATTGTGTTTTTGATTCATCATAAATTGTGTTGTTGGGGCAGTGGAATAATGCTATCTTGAGGTCATGATTGTCATCATCTTCCGTGCATTGATAAAATATGTTACAATACTTCGGATGTCTCCTAAATGATGTCGGACATACGTAAGCGTTTTGATCATCATCCATTTCGGGACATTTATCTTTAGGAGTGGAACTAGTTGTGGTAGTTTCAGTTGTTTGCTGCATTGCTTCAGTCGTTGTTTTGTCATTTTCTGATGAATCAGTCGATGAATCCATTGTCGAAGTAGATTGCTCTGTAGTAGAAGATTGTGTAGTAGTTCCTTCACTTGTTGATGCGTCAGTCGTTTTATCCGTTTGAGTAGTTTGATCTGTAGTAGTTGTTGAGCGTTCCGTTGTTGTTGTTGTATCTGAAGTAGATGTTGTCGTAGTAGATGTCTGATCTGTTGACGATGATTCTGTCTGTGTAGTTGTTTTTTCCGTGGTGGTGGTCTGACTTTCTGTTGTTGTTTTATCTGTTGTTGAAGTTTCTTGTTCTGTGGATGCTGTAGAAGCGGTAGAACTACTTTGCTGTGTAGTGGTATCACTTGCAGTTTTAGTAGTTGTTGTTTGTGTCGTAGTTTCCGTAGATGAACTTTCAGAAGTAGTGGTGTCTGTATTATTTTGCGCCTGTGAAGAAGAACCACTACAATTTCGAGGGGGGTACACTGAATCCTCATAGTTGCAAGTGTCTAATGACGGATCCCATATCGTCCCTTCACCGCATTCAAAATGGAAAATGGAGAAGCGCGTACCATCATTATTCCAATCAACACATCTATAAAACTTCTTACAGTCGTTTGGATTTGGATAAAATCCAGCACTTGTACACGTAAAGTTTCCTTCATTTTGCTTTTCAGTCGATTGTTGGTCCTCATTACTTTGTGTACTTACATCGTTATCTGAAGAAGTTGTAGTACTTGCAGGTTGTGATTGTGATGTTGTTTCAATTTCGGTGTTGTTTATTATTTTTTCAGTAGTAGTTGATATATCTACGTTACTCGTTTCACAAGATGGGTGTTCCACATCTTGTGGGTGGTTACAAGCTAATATATCCTGATCCCAGATTGTTCCTTCTCCACAAGTAAAATCATATTTTGTAAATCCGTTCTTACCATTGGAAACGCATCTATAAAAGCTTTTGCAATCATTTGTATTACCATAGAATCCTTCGTCAGAACACGAATTTTTGCTAGGTTTTGTATTGTCCGATGGAGGGTTTTGACTACTTGTTGAAGTTGCGCTTGTAGAACTTGACAATGCTTTTTCAGTTGTAGTCTTTTCCTTTACGTTGTTTTCGGTACTCAAAGTGCTAAATTCTGTTGTAGTTGACTGAGCCGGTGTTGTTGATGTGAGTGAAGCGGCAGTTGAAGTAATTCTATTTGTTGTGAATTCTGAAATTCCAGTGGTCATTGTTGTTGAATCATTTTTGGCGCTTTCTGTTGAGCAGGATAAATACTCGACATCTCTAGGGTGGTTACAGGCAGTTATTTCTTGATCCCAAACTGTGCCTTCGCCACAAGTAAAGTCATATTTGACATATCCACCATTTCCGTTACTTACACATCGGTAAAAGTTTTTACAATCATCAGTATCCCCAAAATAACCTTCCTCGTTACAAGTATTTTTTCCTGAGTTTTCATTCGTTTCTCGGACAGTTGTAGAGCTACTTATTGTCGTCTGTTCTCCTTGAAACTGTTCAGTCGAAGATATAACTATTGTATTATCTTCTTTTATTGTCGTGACTGAAGAACTAGTCGATGAAATAGTACTCTGTGTAAAAGAACTCTCGTTACTGGATGTTGAACAAGACGGCCGTTTAACATCTTGAGGATGGTTACAAGCTGTAATGTCTTGATCCCATATAGTGCCTTCGCCACAAGAAAATTCGTACAATTCAAAACCAGCCCTCCCGTTATCGACACACCTATAAAATTTTGTACAATCTCTACCATTTCCGAAGAAACCTTCCTCTTTACACATATTGTCGCTTGAGGGTCTTGTTTCAGTTGGCTTGGAAGTACTCGTAGATGTGGTTAGAGATTCTGCGGAAGGTGCTAAATTTTCTGGTAGATTAGTGATAGTTGTTTCCTTTGAATTACCGTTCTGTACTTCATTAACATATCCAGAATTATTGCTTTCATCAGTAGGCTTCAATAAAGAGTCTGTTTTGTCATTATTCAAATTGTTGTCACTATTACATGCTTCCACCGCCCACGCATGGTTACAGGACTCTATTCTTGAATCCCAGACAGTACCTTCGCCGCAAGAAAATTCGTATCGAATAAATTTACCATTACCACTATCGACGCATCTATAAAACTTTTTGCAATCGTTGGTATCGCCCATAAAACCGGATTTTGAACATTTTGTTGAGCTCAAGTTATTGGTGTCTTTTGGTGTAGAGCCGATGAATTGGACCGGCCCCTGATGATAACCTGAATCATAATCTTGTTCTATAATATCATTTGCTTGCGTAGTTGTTTGCAAAAGAGAAATTGTAGATATGACCGGTGCATTAACAGCTTGCGTTGTCAGTTTTGTATCATTGACTTCTGAAATAGTGCACCCTTTTACTGCCCAAGCATGATTACACGCCTCAATGTTTGCATCCCATAATGTTCCCTCCCCACACTTGTATGCAAATTTTGTAAAAACGCCTCTTCTTGTTTCAATACATCTATAGAAGTTTTGACAGTTATTTTGATCGCCATAAAAACCATTCGCAGAACATTCACCCTTTACTCCCTCTGGTGTTGAAAATCCTAAATCACTAATTGTTGTCACATTTGATACTGCATGGTTATTTGTAGTAGATTCCTCGTGCACTCCATACCCTAAATCTTCATCACTTTGTGTTGAAAAACTACTTAATGGCTGTTGAGAGTAATGGTCATTATTGGTTTGCGTGGTTGTAATTAAGTTATCATCTATGTTAAAAGTGGCGCCACAATCTTTTACAGCCCATGCGAAATTACAAGCTTGTAATTTGCTATCCCACAAAGTTCCATCACTGCAAGAAAACTCATATTTTAAAAAGTTTCCTCTTGTATTTTCAACGCATCTATAAAATTTCTTACAGTCATTAGAATAGCCAAAGAAACCGTTTTTATGACAATTGTTGTTTTTGTGACTCTCAATATAAGCATTTGTTACACGTGTTTCTTCTTTATTTTTTGTATTCCCGAATTGATTATAGCTATTCCCTTTAGAAACTGTTTGACGTGGTGTAGTGTAAGAATTACTCCAAATCTTATCTCCATACTGAAGAGGGCTACTTGTGGACTTAGTAGATAATTGTACTTGTTCTCCGAGAAATCTGTAAGTAGTTGTTTCTATACTGTCAACTTTTGTTTGTACATCTTTTGGTGGATTAGTCTGAAGGGGTCTATAACCATCGTCCATATTATGACTATTTTCTTGCGGGTACTTATTGCTTGAACCTGTATCGTATCTATTACCGTAATCGGCATCAGTGTTATCAATATAATTTGTGTTATCTCGTCTACATCTCCAATTTCTAGCAATCCAAGCGTGATTGCATCCTTGTATACTATCGTCCCATATAGTTGCGTCATTGCACATGAATTCGTATCGTATGAAACTTCCTCTTAAATTATTGACACATCTGTAAAATTTCTTGCAATCGTTTGAATCTCCAAGAAAACCTTCTTTAATGCATAGATTATCTTGAGTGTTATGCTTGTTTATTATAGGATTCCTAGTGAACAATTCTGTATCATTTGGAACGGCTACAGTGGTGAATGATGTAGCCGTTTTCTTGTCTGTTGTATGTAAATCGTCGTTCAAAATGTTGTTATAATTATCCAATGGTTTATTAGAATTAATATAGTCCTGAGGTTCCCTATATTTAATAGGCTTTGGCAACTCTTGATGAAGGTCAGCAACTAGATTTTCGTACCGCTGATCATTAAAACTTGGCGGTACACCGCAATCTGAACGCATTGTATTGCGCGGGTAGTTGCAAATCTCTTTATCGGGATCAAATATAGTACCGGGAGCGCACTGAAACTGAATATAAAAAATCAATAACACTTCATTTATGCTACTCTATATAAACTAATATATAAATAACTTACTCTAAACACTGTATATTTGTCGCCATAAGTTTTAAGACAGCGGTAAAATATCGAACAATCATTTTGATCTGGTAAAAATCCTTCTTTGTGGCAGAGGTGAGAAATTAGTTTATCGTTTGAATTCAGCTTAACTATTCTGCCGCTGACACGTTCTTTTCTATAGGTATCTATAGATGCCGTGTCTGAAAAAGAAAACAATGAACAATTAGGTAGGCAGGGGCCGTTACATATAAAAACCAAACATATTTTTTTATAACTTACCATTTAAATCATTCGTTATTACATCACGAAGTAAAACCAATAGAATAATTTGAAGTTTTGTGTAATTCATAATGAAATTTCGTAACAAAAAAATATAAGAATTTCCTAATTTATTTCTCCATTGTATCTGTAAACAAAAACGTTCTTATATAATTTTACATTACATTTCATTAAATTTAAATTAATATTTAAATTTAATGAAATAGTTTCAAAAAATGCTGAGTAAATAATGATAAAAATTACAAAGTTCATAAAATATTCCCGGGCTTAAATCAATTCCAGCTGCAACGTACGAGTGCGTGAAGCGGTATACGATTAAAAATAATAATCGATTTAGAGATTGCGAAAGAAATATGTTCGAATAACTTACTAAGGAAGACGTATAGGAATATTGACCGTTTTTATTTCTTTAGGTATGTATTTTCATCATTACTATACCTTTTTGTTTATTGCTACAGTCTGTGTTGTTACTAAGCGTCAATTATTGAGTAATTTTATTTGAATTTATTGAATCTATGTGAGTGAAATTGGTGTAAGTAAAAGTATAGTCTTAAGTTAAGCCCTTAAGGCCACTAGTAGCTATAAAGACGTGTAAACGAGTTAATTTATCGTTACGTTTTTCAATAAAGATGCAATAGACTACAGAAAATCTAGGCTTCACTTACAATCATATTTTAGCAGCTGTATATAAGGGAACTAGTTGACCTGGGAAACGCGTTTTGCTATATTATGAGGAAGACTTTTGATTACCATTAAAACGGTTCTTGGGAGTAAATCTTAAAAAATAAAATACTGTTGCGCAGCGCACGCAATGGGGTTTCCATTGCGTGCGCTGCGCAACAGTTCTCGAAGATGAATAATTATTTCCGTTTAGAAATTTTCCAATAATTTTTCCCACTGTTTCGTCTCCTATTGGTCACAACCATGTATTATAACCTGGAGCCTTCCTTTATAATTGTTCTCACCAACACGAAAATAATTTAAAGACGAATCCATTTTTTATACTCGTACATATTTTTGGTTACTTAAACTGTTGCGCAGCACACGCAACGGAACCCCACATAGATAAATAATTTTCCCAATTCGAACCAGTAGTCCCTGAGACTTGCGCGTTCAAATAGACTCTTCATTTTTATTAATATAGATTAGGACTTTCAATGTAGCTATAAATAAAGACGAGAGCGTAGATCCGTACCATAGTTTTGAAGTAAAATAGCTGTTATGTTGAATCTTAAAGGTCATAAGTAAACAACCAGCCTTCATAAGACATATCGACGCATACTCCGCTAGTTCATTGCCACGAATAATTACGGGTTGATCTTACAAAAAGACAAGTGGAGCGAGTTGTGAGGAGGTCCTTCTTTTTTGTGTCTAGATGACACACTGCCTTTTTTATAGAGCTAAGCCGGAGCGCGAAAATAATTGCGTAGGGTTATGTGATTGGAATGAATGGATATGAGTAATGATTGTAAACGAGTATCGTAAGCGATAGTTGCATTATAATATTCAAAGCTACGATCATATTTCTAATTTGAATTGAATTGAATTTTTTCACAGAGTGAAAAGTATATTAATATTTCACGAACAAAACTAAGTCACGTTAAATAAAATACTATTAACGGTTCAAAATACAAAAAAAAATGTTCGAATACAACCCGACATTGTTTTTATACCCCCATTTTGTTTTTAATTCGAAATTTGAAATTTGAACTGTTGCTTATATAGACTAATCAATTTTATGTTTAAATTATTGTGAATTATTCGATAATATATATTAACAAGTTGAAATCGATATTTCAAAAATAAGCAACATTACGATGAATAAAAAAATCGGAATTGAAATATTTCAATGTGATATAATGCGAAAATCTATATACAGCACAATACAGCCATTAGCGGTCGACGAACAAACCCCTGTTTTCTAAAAGTGGACTTACCATTATCATTCTCGCCTATTTTTAACCCCGTGATGCGATGATAATGACTCTCTCAGCTGGATAATGTAAGTTTCTTATAACAATCATCGCAAGAAATACTATTATCGTCCACGGTTGTGTTATGAATTTTTTGCGGTTGAAAGTTATCTTAAACGCCATCATTATTCGAGATATAATTCGCCTATACAACAAAGGATTCGTGGGCTCGTTTGATAATTGATTTTATTTTTGAGACAAGACATTCTAGTTTGTACTACGTATAACTATTATTAATCTATTTGCGAATCTTACTTAAATAACACAGTTTAAATAAAACACTTTAACGGTTTAAAACTCGATATATATTAGTTAAACTTTGAAATAAGTTTAACTAATATATATCGCGTTTTAAACCGTTTTATTTAAATGTGTACTTCTTGCGTAAACTACAGACAGTATTTAATAACACAGTTTTTATGGTATACTTATATCATTACATTTATCTAGGTTATGAAAAAATAACTATACAAATTATGAGCACAGTGCACAATAAATGTACAGTGCACTCGAATTAACTTGAAAAGTCAGAAGTTTGATTCTTGATTGTACACAGAAGTATTTATCATACTTAGGTAATAGGTATGTTCTACGAGTAGAACCGAAAACTTTTTTTTATATTACAAAACGCGTATTGCCAGTATTAAGTTGACCATAGGCTATATCCTGTAATTGTTTAAGGTCCACAGAGGGTACAAATAAGTTACAGTTCCATATTAAAAAAAAATTCAACGACAGACGTAAAGCATGAAATGGTACACAATATCCATAACTTATTGACAGCGGCAAAACCGCTGCGCCCGCGCCGCTTTAATTTTTTATACGTTTTTCGTAATACAAATTAATGAACGCCATCCCGGCTTACTTATTGAACATAAACCATGCTAAACATTGTAAATTATGGTCACAAACCGCTCGAGGGTGTTTCAGTTATAAATCATGTATCCAATTATACCACGGCATTGTATAAACAAAACCTTTTACTTTTCTTGTAACGCGAGTAAAATTGCATAAGGCGACTATCGACATATTTATGGCGTCCTGTTGAAGTGGAACAGGCTTGATCCTTTAAGATGTTGTGAGAACAACATTCCTCGAGCGCATCCGATAAAGTTATCTAGCCGGTGTTCAATTAGGTTTATAAGCTACTGATTATCAAACCTATTATTAACTACGAAACATAAGGCGACTATCGACTGTTGAGTGCTTGAGTAGAGTAGATCTTATTAAAGAATTGCGTTAAATAAACTTGTATATAATATTTAAAGTCCTAACGCAATTTTAAAATACGTATCTTACCACTATTTCTATCACTGATTTTTTTTTTGCCTTGAAGTTTAATCGCGCTTTGGTTTCAGTTAAATTAGGTTGACAGCGCTTTTGTGTTAGCTAGAACATATATCGAGGAAGGCTATAGGCTATAAAACATCACGCTGTGACTAATAGGAGCGGAGATACGGAAAATGTAAACAAAACGGGGAAAATTTTCATCTCTGTGTTTTTCCGATGCGTACGCTGCGTAAACGGTTAAATTATCTAAACCGCGATGCTATGTGTCTATCTTCTAAGATTAACTTGTAAGAACGACGGGAAGGGACGCGACCGACGTCGTGGGTAACAGCTAAGTTTATAAAGAACTCATTCGGACGACCAAAATTAATACTCTTAGCGGACAAAGTCGCTGGCACAGCTAGTAATGTATAAAGATGAGTGGGAGGTATACAAAAAAAATAATTGATAACAAAATAACTATTCTCCGCGGACGACGTCGCTGACACAGCTAGCTAAAGTACTTGTTACTTTTAAAACAATATCCAGCAAAACCGATATCGATTTATTTTGTTTGCACGTAATAAAATTGTTTTGACATTTTAATTTGATGAAAGGTGCACTTATACGCGTCTACGTGAGATGTTGAGCGTACGTGCCTGCAGACATTTTGGGAGTTATTTAATTTGCTTTATTGGCAAATTTTTATGTCTATATACAATGTCTTTGGATATTAGAGATCGAACATATTGAACATTAAAATAAAAATAAATGGAAACTCTTAGGGTGAAATAATATAAATTGAGAATCTATTTTAGTAAAAAAAAACAATTCTCCGATCATGAAGCCATCCTTATTAAAAAGCCGAGGCCTTATAGTTTACGCGAGTAGTACACATTTAAATAAAACACTTTAACGGCTTAAAACGCGATATATTAGTTAAACTTATTTGAAAATGATTTTTAACTTCGGCCCGACGTTTAAAAGTTTTATTACGTTTCGTAATCAAAGCCAAATACACATTTTACACGTTTAAACTTTACTTGCCGTGTCCCACGCTGCAGCAAACCAAATTGTCGGGCCGTAATTAAATTAAATTAATAATAAATTCACTCCTATATAACGCGATTTAAAGTGTTAAATAAGTTAAAGTTGTTTTGTTTAAATACTAATCTCCATATATTTTACAGTGAATGTGTATAACAGAAGATATGCGTAGCCCTCATGGCGGATATATCCATTAAAGTTATAAGAATTTCAATTATTATAATCATAGATAATATCCAATAATAACTGAATTCCACATTCGTGCAGTCATTGAGGAATCTTTCACGGCCAAGGTTACGCATCGGAGCGCGGTGAATTTATTATTTTTATTGCAATACAACGAAATAGGTTGCTGACCTTACCTTACTTCGATACAATATCTCGATATTACGCGATTATTAAACGCGAAATATATAAAGCATCCGGAACTTCCGATCCTAGTTATAATAAATTTAAAAAATAACACATTTAACGGCTCTAAACCCGAAATATATAAAGGTTCCGTAACTTAGGGTCGTACGTAAAAATAGTTAAATATATTACGCGTTTTAAACCGTTACACGTGTTTCTATTCAAATTTGTGTTATTCGCGTAAACTACAGACAGTTTTTATGATTAAGACTAATCTTCAGTTATTTTTAAATATAGTCATGTGACTACATATTTTCGGCAAAAAGTTGCACAGACATATATTTTATCTAGTATTGAAGTTTATACATAGCGAGAAGGACATACTCACAAAAACACTACAAGTTACAACTAAGAAAAGATGTGTGAATAT